AAAAATAATTCCTGCAATGTTATAATGTTTCAAGTGAAAGAGTTTGAGTGAAAAATGTTTTAAAATTCTGTTCCAATTGCATCTTAGATCTTTATTATTAGAATTATATAATTATAATTGAATCACATTTTTTATAGTTTTTTATCACATTCCTCATACACTTCAGTACAAAACTGATTTTTCTTCTTCTTTTGTCACAAAGATTAGGAGACAGTGAATGTTTCATCCATTGTCCACAAGAGCCTGTTGTGCCTTATCGATGTTAAAATCGGTACACATCCCTTTGTTATTGATGAATTTTAAAGAATGTTAGTTAAATGTATAATATTCTCTGAAGTTAGTTAAATGTATAATATTTTCTACTAAGATAGCGAATACAATTAAAAGTATTTCTGGTAGCTATTAGAATGTTGCTGAAATATTTGTATACAATTGATTTCAGTTTTTTTTTAATCAAATTATTCATTTGTGATTGTTTCAGCATTTGAGAATAATGTTTCTGTCTTCATCCAGAAGTGTGCAGAAATCATTCACACCAATGAAGAAAGAGAAGTTGTTGGGCAGGCTTTAGAGTCTTATGGTAATCTTCTCAAGTCTGCCAAGAACTTTACATTAAAACAGTCCACTCATCGAGAAGCAATTTTCAATTGTATTCTTGATGTAATTCATAAACGAGTAAGTAATTATTTTAAGGGGGGAGATTTAATGAGTACATGAAAGTGATTTAAAATTTTTGAATAAATTAGCCTCAACCAGGAATTGATCCTGGGTAGTGAATTAATTGCACACAACAGTTTGCAAATTAGCCATACAAACTTCTGAAACATATACCCAGGTCAATCCATTATAAGTGGTCCAGAATTTAATAAATTGGTCGCTCGACAATTTCAAGAAAAAAAAAATCATATTTTGTACCTAATTTTTCTTATGTCTGGTTTAGAACAACCCAGAGCTGAGTAATTTAGAAAACAGTAAATATCTACAAATGCGAAGAATGGCGCTCTGCATAAAAAAAATTGCTGCCATTTGTAAACCAGACACAATTTAAAAAAAAAATTAAAGATGTTTTACATCGGGGAATTTATGTACAAAATGTGTTGTTGTTTCTTTCGAGATGGTCAAATGACCCATGCCACTTAAACTGGATTGACCAACATATGAATTGTATAACTTCTTCATTTTAGAAATAGGGAGTGTTTGCTCTCTTTCTTTCCTATTCTTGTCTTTTTAATTCATTTACTTGGCTTTCAGACTCTGTGTCAATTAGAAGAAGAGGACTCTAGTGCCGAGGATGAAGAAAATGCCGAACAAGATGAACTACTGATTGAATATGCTGGAGATGTATTGCCATACTTTGGAAGAGCTATGTCTGCAGATGATTTTAAACCATATTTTGTGACAATTTTTCCAGTTTTAAAATCTAAGCTGGTTAGTGTTGTGTTTATTAAACTTAAAAACAGTTTAACATGTTGACTGCCTCTGTTGAGCAAAAAGCCGCTGCTAGCCACAGAGTATCCGGCATGTGTCACAGTTGTGGCTGCTGTGGGTCAAATGGCAGTCAACATTTTGAAGTAAAAATTTGGAGTGAAATATATTTTATAAGCTGTGTCCATATTTTTTATTCTGTCTTCAGAAGGAATCTGGAACAGTGGCCCAGCGATCATTTGCAATTGGAATTATTGCTGAATGTATGGAACCTTTGGGACCAGTTGTTCTTGAATTCTCAAATGAAATTCTACCTGCTTTTATTGCTGGTGCAACAGATGAACATTGTGATGTTCGTAATAATGCTGTTTATGGATTAGGTGAAATGTTGTACCATGGGAAAGAAAAATTTTTTCTGTATCCTTTTATATTACATAGATTCAAATTTTGGAATGTGGATTCAGAATCCACATTTTCAGTGGAAATGAATCATCTGAAGGAGTTGTTTTAAATTTATTTATTAAATGATTTGTGCTGTTATTATGTAGCCTAACTCATTAAAGTAGATATATGGTCATCACTCAGCAACACAAATGGTCTGTTTACCGTACACCTGTATTATACAGAATGAGTCATTTCAGGTAGTGAGAAAGCTCACGAATGTGCCTCATAATATTAGCAATAAATAATTCCTTTGCTATTTTGGCTTCACAAACATAGATTTGTTTTGAAAGGATTTGTAGTAATTTTTCTATTTTGTCACAATCTATATTTCACCGCAACTTTACATGCATATGTGGACTTAAGGAATCATTAGTTACATTTGTGAACAGCGAATACTCAGGAATTCTAATTGTCCAAAGTTCTGATGCCCAAAATTGGACCAGATAATAGTGCAATTTACAAATTTTTGTCTTTCTTAGTTTGTATCCAAAGAAAGAAGATTTTTCTTCAGCAATAATTAGAACTATTCATAGATCTTCTTATCATAACCTTCAGGATGTTACAGAAGAAGAGACAGCATGAAGAAACTGCTGTGCAAAAACAAAGTATTTATCAGCCATTGCCATTGAAAACGTTTGTTCATCTAACTATGAAATTTGTTTTTATTTTACCACCTGAATTGACTCACCCTGTAAATTATAACCAAGATACCTTCTGTAAAATTGGCACTTACAATTTTTTTTATAATTGGCATTTGTATGGTTTTAAATGTTAATCATTTTATATGCTTATTAGACTAAAAAAAAAAAATTACTGGTAGGGAAAATCCTGTTGATATCAGCTCTATTGCTACAGGACTTCTTTCAGAGGGGTTGCACTTTTGGTTACCAAGTCATCAAAACCAGAAATTATGGTTTTTTACTTATTACTTCATATTGCAGTATCAGCAACTAATTCACCTTCCTTTGTATTTGTGCACAGTGTGTATAGTGTGAATTATAAAAAGCTGGATGTTCTCTGTTGTTTAGCTTCATCAGCTTTTACCAATAATTTCTTGTTACTTCATGTTAGATTGTTATTTGAGGCATTGTGTCAGGTAGTCGAATCTATAAAGTTATAATTTTAGAGAGGAGATCTTTTAAATAATTTTGATTTTTTAATAAACTGACTAATTTCTAAAATCAGTGATTTCAAATGAAGTTTGTAAATTTTGTCTAGAATTATCTGAGACTTATTTGAGACAGAATAAAATACATGAAATTAATTTCGTATATTGTTCAATATCAAGTTACACTGAAGATAATGTTAACATATGCAGATAGTGTTAGAGGAGGCTGTGACTTTCTCTTCAAAAAAAGAAAAATTGTGACTTTTTTCTTCATTAGAAAGATTTCTTCTAATATATGAAACATACTTGAGTTAATAATTACCATATTTACCCAAATGGAGGACAAGTTTTTTCCTAAATATCTCAGTCGAAAAATGCGAAGTTGTCTTATTTACAGATTTAAGCTACGTCTTTTATTACAGATTTAAGTCTTGTTGATTAAGGTTTAAGTTTTTATATTTCATGTCACGAAACTCGTGAATGTAACACACTGTGAAGACGCTAAAAATATCGCGCTTATCTACAATACGTTCGTGGTCATTTTCTCGGCATCCACCACGAATTTGCCAGACCAATCAGACCAATATTTTTTAATGGGTCAGTAAAGCATAATCTCAAACGAATGGCATTGTATCAAATGAAACATAACATGAAAAGGAATGCCACTGTAAAAAACGACTTCCATGTGCAGCCATCCAGTCATTAGCAATAAATGTTTCTAGTTTAGCATGCTTCTTTATCTTTCCTAAATCCCAGTCAAAGGATAATCCAGTATAAACTAATTGGGGAAACCAGTGAGTGACAGCCTTGAATCTTCCGTGTTCTACCAATGGTCACTTCAGGACAGTGATTTTTCTATGTTTATTGTTCCTTGCAGTTATCTCTTGTAATTGCAAGATGTGGATTTGAATTCAAGATCTGCAAGTATTTTAATAAGCAGCTGTACACCTCATGAGCTCGTTTTCTGGCTTAGTTCTCGCTCTATCTTTTCCATCTCCAACTTTCATAATTTGGCAGAAATTCATCATATCTATTAGTTTTTTCTTCAAATTCACTACTGTTTTCAACATTAAAATCAGTGCTCTTTCTCGCTGTTGCCATATAAGTTGCGAGTAATACACTCGTGGAAAGAATCAGGACCAATGAGAGATATGCGTAACAATTCTCCCTTAGATTTGCAATTTGAGACATCATCATCATCATCATCATGAACTGTTGGTGTATAGGCATCACACCCTGTTCCATTATTTATGTAGTATTCCTGATACACAGTCTTCCAGGTCTTCCTGTTGTTGCCACTTCTTTCATGGTCTTCCAACGTCTCTGTTCCTTGCTGGTTTATATTTCTGTATTAGTTTTGACCATCTGTTATTGTTCATTCTTTTAAGGTGATCTTGCAATTTTCTTTGCGAGTTTTCAATTACCTCTACTAAGTCTTTAGTCATGTGTGCATGATAATGATAATGGAAACAGGCTTCAAACCGATTTGAAAGAATATGCAAAAGAAAATGAAGATGAAATTCTTGTAATAGGAGATTAATAGACAAGACTAGAAGAGGGAGGAATATTCGACATGAAACGACAAATGGAAATGAAAAGAACATGAAAAGACAAAGTGCTCAACAAAGCTGGGAGGGAATTAGTCGAGGAAACAGAGGAGAATGGTTGGTACATACTAAATGATAATGTACAAGGAGACGTAGAAGGCAAATATACGTACATTGGGGAACAGGGTTCATCGGTAATAAATTATATCAAAACAAATCGGGAAGGATTAGAAATTGTAAAATCAATGGAAATAGAAAAGAGGATAGAATAAAATCACCTGCCACTTATGATGATACTTCGTTTAGAATATCGACGAGAAGAAACACAGGAGAAAAAGACTACCCTTATTCAAAATTGGAATGAGAAAGAAATATAATATTATAAGAACAACATAAAACGTGCAGTGTAGAGTAACAATGACCCTGAGAAGAATATGGAAAAACTGAAAATGCAGATACTGGAAGCTGTGAAAATGACAAGAAAACCCCTAGAAAGACTAGGAGTAAGGAAATCAGGTTGGGATAAAGAATGTACTGAAATGAAAAGGAAAGTCAGTAAAGAATTAAGACAAGCTGGAAGAAATGAACTAGGCATAGATAATTACAAAAATGAAAAGAAAACAAGGAACTGCTTGAAAGAAAAGAACGAGAGAAAAAAGAGGAATATGAGAGAGAACTAAAACAAATAAAATCAGGATAATCATGGAAATATATAAACAGGGAAAGAAAACAAAGCATACAGAACTGCCAAAATATAGAAATAGGAAAATAGAAGGAATATTAATGGAAAGATTGAGCGGAAACAACTTAAAGATTCGAAGACCAGAGCAAGGGGAGAAATGAAAGAAATACCAGAATTATCTGACGTGGAGATAAACAAGCAAATTAAACGGCTGAAGAAAAAGAAAGCAACAGGAGAAGATGATATGAAAAACAACGCATGGGTTTATGGACAAGAGAATGTTTTCAATGCCCTAAGAAAAATCATAAAAAGTGTGTGGAGAGGTCAAGGATTCAAATCTTCATGAAGAAAAGGGGTCATAACACCAATATATAAAAAAGGAGACAAGAAAGCCTTTAGAAACTACAGAGGAGTAACACTTTTGGACACGGTCTATAAAGTGTATGCCGTGGTTTTAGATGAGAAATTGAAACAAGATATACAATGCCAGAAAATTCTCTGAGACACGCAATTGGGATTCAGAAGAGGAAGAAGTGTAATAGACAACATTTATATTCTAACTCATTTGACCAGTACACAGATAAGTAAGAAAAGAGGGAAGCTTAATGCATTTGTTGCAGATTTGGAAGCAGCGTTAGACACAAAAAAAGAGATATTCTATGGAAATGTATGGAGAAACTGAGAATACAAGAATGCCTCATGAAACTAAGTGTACTTGGAGTGTACTAAATGTACATGGAGAGGAGTCGGAAGAATTTTGGGTAGAAGAAGGAGTAAGGCTGGCCCTTAAGTCCAACTCTCTTCTCTTTGTATATAGCAGATTTAGAACATAAAATGCAGGAAGGTCAGAGAAGGAGTTAGAATAGGAAGCAAAAAACGTAAATACATTATCATATGCAGATGAATTTGTATTGTTAGCAACATTAGAAGAGATGAAAAAATCATTATCTTTGAAGAATATATTGAAGAGAAAAACTAATGTTGAGTATTTCCAAATCCAACATGCTGGTGTTCCAGAAAGGTGAAGAGTGAAAAAGAAAAGGAATGAAATTAGAAGTGAGGGAATTTAAATACTAAGGCTATACATTTTCTTCCAACTTAGAAACAGACAGACACATAAGGGAAATTAGTAGAATCAATAATTGCATCAAAACAAGTGCGAGGCATAGGGAAAAGAAAATTTAAAGACTACTTTGACCAGAGGATGAAGATGTATACATATTTTGTGAGAAACCTCAAATTATTTGTGGCAGGAATCTGGGTATGGAGTGAAAAACTTTTACTGGAGAAGACACAACTACAGTATGTCAAATGAACACTGGAACTAGATACACACACCTGGGTACATAGTATTAGAGGAAAGTAATTGGGAGAAGACATGAATAGAAGCTGCAAGGAGAGCAGTGAAGTTCGAAAAGAAAGAAGGCAAGAAACAGGAAACACTATTTTGAAAGAATGTATAAGAGACATTGACACAGACATTAAGGATACAAAATGGATGAAAAAGAACTGGATATTTTCAGAGAAACGGTATGTGAGTAGAACAAGCATTGAGAAATGGGAGGAAGGGCAAAAAATCGAACAATTATTAACAGAGACAAAGAAATTCAACCACAAATTCAGCATAACAAGTCAAAATACATGGTTCTGCAAGTATTACATAGTGATCAAAACACACTGAGACAAACAGAAGTAGCTCTCAAATCCAGGACACAAGAAGAGTCTGATCACAGCAAAATTCCAGTGTAGAAATAGGATATTAGGAAACCTCTTTTGGAAGATAGATGGCAAAATCTGCAGACTGCTGGGAAGAAGAAAAAACAATGTAACATGTGATTAAATGTGTGCAAGAAGGAAAAACAAACCAAAAGAAGAGCAAATACTAGATGAAGGTGGAGAGGTAGAGTCCATTTTGAGACTTACGGAAGCAAGAAGAAACTAGGAAAGAGGTGGAGTGTAAATTTTTGTATTGTATGTTTTGTATTATATTTGTATTTTAAGGCCAGAAGGCGTGAAATATACTACAACTGCTACTGCCACTACCTCTGCCACCACTACCACTACCGTCTTTAGTTTTTAGTTTCTTTCTAATGTCTTTGTTTCTCAGTCTGTCGTTCTTGTATCTCCTACAATGTGTCTCATATGTGCTGTTGTATTTTTTGTTAGTGTCGTCCATTATCCATGTCTTAAAGCTGTTATATTGTGAATTTTTAGTTTTGTTTTTGCATCCATGTCCTGTTAGAGACCTTCAGTTATTAGCTACTGATCTATGACAATACCTTAAATGTCATGAAAATGTAGCTTGTGACCATCTGTGATGCTATATCTCAGTTGTTTAACAGATGTACTTATTGTGCTTGTGATATAAAAAAAACTAGTAATTTGGTTGTAAAAACTTAGAACCATACATAATTATAGTTTAAATAAAACATTACAATATGCATGTCTCCTTTAGTATTAATTTTATAGTTCTTGATGTACATATTTGAAATTTGTTCTTTTTTATTCATTAAGAGCGTTTTCTTTTTCATACATGATCATATTTCCTATTGAATAAGAAAAAAGACTAGAATTTAAAGTGCTAGGTTGAATGAAATCCATCCTAGTTGAACTCATATCAATAAGTAAAGATTGTAATGTAACATTTCTTTTGATCACTTATTTTCTTACACAGTAAAGAAAAAAATGCTTTGACATTTTTATTAGAATATAAGATTTTTGCAATCCTACTCTTTAATTCCTCAGAGTTTCTGACAGAAGTTTAATGCTCAATATTTTTTTGTTATGGGTATTGATAAAAGTATATATTCCTTAAATTTCTTAGTCATTATGAAAATGTGCTACAACTTTTATCCATGTGCTTGGTGCAGGAAACAGTTCCTAAGGTTATAGACAATATATGTGGAGCAGTCGCTCGCATGATTGTTGTCAATGCCAATCTTGTACCTATAGCTCAGGTTTGTAACATTTAATTGATGCTGCAATTTTCCAGTAATCTATATCTATCTATCTGCTCTTCATATATTATTTTGTAGGTCTTCCCAGTCATTATTAATTGTCTTCCTCTTAAGAAGGACTTCAAGGAAAATAGTATTATGATGAAGTGTTTTATGCATTTATATGAAGGTGGCCATGATATTGTAGCACAGCATCTAGAAAAGATCTTACACACTATTATTCATATCATCCACCAAAAACAAGGAGAGGAAGGTTAGTATATCATTTTAACTTTTGTTGTTCTTGAAATTCAGTTCATTGTTTTAAGATACTGCTCTTTTAACTTCTAACTAAATAGGTTTTAGTATTTAAAAGGGGTTATTTTGAATTTAAAAGCTCTTTCCTCTATTATTAATGTGTATATTTATGAAAAAGCTAGTGAAATGAAGCTCACAACAGGCATACATCACTGTTTGATGAAAGCGCAAATTGCAGGATGATTTTCAACTGTTCATAGTTTGCATTACAAATGGAATTCATTAGAAATCATGCTGTAAAGAATCATCCAAAGCAATGGCCTGTGTTGAAAATTAACAATATTCTCTTAATTAAGAAAAGATGTTGAGCATAGGACTGGTAGATGGCTCCTTTTTGGGTATTGATCTTGCTTTTTTTTTTCACTAAGTTCCTAAAAGTTTCTTTTTGTGGAAGACGTCTGTAACAGTGTCTATTTTTACACGAAGTCCCTAATGGTCCCTGTTTAGTAAAAAGTCTCCATTTAACAACCAAATCAATTTTTTGCACATATCAGTTGCTCATTGTTGCATTCATGCATGCAGTCATTGTTGGAACCCTCTGGCAGTATGTTTTTGCAACTTTTAGTGCTAACCTATTGTTGTTTTGCTAATACAATAATAGTAATAGTAATAATAATAGTCATAGTAATAATAATAGTCATAGTAATAATAGTAGTCATAGTAATAATAATAGTAGTCATAATAATAATAATAGTAGTCATAGTAATAATAATAGTAGTCATAGTAATAATAATAGTAGTCATAGTAATAATAATAGTCATAGTAATAAAAATTATAATAATAACAACAAAAATAATGTCTTGATTTCTGGTGAGGCTCAGGCTGTAAGGTCTGCTCTTTCACCTAACAACACATCTATAAGAAGAAGCAAAACTGTTCATAGAACTTAGCGTGTGCCCTGTCAACATCAGTGCAGACCAACCGCCATTTGCTTTTCATCAACCTCTCCTTCCAATGTAACCATAGGCATATAGCAGCTAAGCACAGATGTAAATGGACACAAGTCATGAATACATCCAGCCAGGAGTGTAACATACTGTAGCGGTCATGGCTAAATTAATATCTGGCAATCAGAAATGAAAAAAACTTGCGTATGTGTTTTGGTTAGAATGTCTGTCTCTTGAAGAATAAAATCCACAAAGTTTTGGAAAAGAAGCACAATTTTTAAACATCTATTTTCTCAAAAACAGCTTCAATTTTTTTTCCTCGTATGTAGCTAAGAATTGGAAAGATTCGAGGAATTTGAAATAATTTAGGATTTGCACTCAAGAAAATTAAAGATGTGTTCCTCTTCTACAATTTGTAGTATAAAAAGTGTGTGCAAAAAATAAATGCAGAACAATGATTGATGTTCTGTCTAGCACCTTCTCACAACTGGATGTAGTTTCATGCTTTATTTGTTACAAGGTATAGTAAAAATTCATCAGTGTTGGTGTTCCTCATGAATAGGAATTTCTGATGAAATACCTTCAAATCATGATTTTGCTGTTTTATGGTTTACATGGTTGTTGTATTATACAGAGCGCTAGGAAAGTCCTTCTGCAGTAGCACCTTCCTGATGAGAGTGCTTGTAACAAAAATTATGTGGGTAGCATGAGCTGCAGCTTATATAATAATGAAAGAAATAATAAATATCACACTTAACCACAATCATAACTTGCTGAAAGCTTCATTTTTTCCCAGCGATCTGTTTGCTGCCAACATCAATGCAATTTTTAATAGGAGGCTGTGACTCAACCCAGTTGAGAGAGACTTTCATGGCACACTGCTGTTGATGTGTTATTCAGACTTAGTTCTAGCTACTATTTCTTTTGAGTGTTGTAACTCCCACTGCAATAACAAGAAAAAGGCACTGCATCCACTATAGAAATCTCCCATTAGGTTGCTTTGTTTCCAATTTGGAGGGAAGAATTTGGTTAACTTCTTTTCTGGGCACTCCTTATAAAAGAAGTTAATGTTAAAATAGAATAAATAAAGTGAATCAACACACTAAAAGTATGTGAATGCAAAATGGAGTTGGCTTCATCACTTCATTGAAATTTCAGTATAAAGAATAACATGAAATCATTTTATTTAAGAGAAGTAATAATCAGTTACCACCATCACAGTGAATCCTTAGAGTGCTTTAAGATGTCTCAGAGGACATCAAACTCTTCAATGTGACAATCCTCTTGCGCCTCCACCCTCAGTATTAGCTGCGAGCTAATGTGCATTGTTTTCTTGTGTCTAATAGAATTATTGTTACAAGTTTCAATTTCCCCTACTAAATGGTTCCTGTACAGGGAACCAATTTTGAATTAGGTTTGTGAAGAACTTCCAGTGACTTAGTCAGGTGTAATGAATTTCTATTCTGACTGCTCTGGTGGGTGATGTAATATAGTTTCTCATGACTTCTGGAAGGACCCTCATACATCAAACTATAGCCCATTGTATTGAAATTTAACTGAATAGATTTCATTTCACTTCTGCGAGTCCCTCTCTCAAGATACCTTTCATGATACACTTCGCATATAAATTAATTTAGTTTCTTAAATTGACACGTAATGTAATATAAATCTTAAGTTGTTTTTTGTCTACAGATGCCTTATTGCTGGCAGAACATCTCTTCACTTGCATCAAGCGAGACTTTCCTGATCGTGTATCCGCTTTAAGGATTTCTGAAGATGTGATACCTACATACTCCAAGTTAATAAATAAATAGGTTCTTCAGATTTATAATTTATGTGTTTTTGTGTTTTTAATATTAAGTGTTGAATGCTAGTTCTGTGCAAAGATACATTGTATTTCATATATGCAGTAATGATTTACTTCGCTTGAATGAAATGATTTTGAATGCTGGATACAATTTTTAAGTCTGGGTCATGTGCGTTACATTCTGGATAATGAAATATTATGTATCACAATTATATATTGCAAGACATTGCATTATAAATGCAAATGTGTTAGCATCAATGTTCTGTATACCTATAGAAATTTTTTTAATACTACATTTTTTGGCTGTGATATAAAGGCAACAAATGTTGAGATCTGTTCTTTATATATGTTGAGATGATTTTATTGTTCTAGTTTAAACATGCTACAGTTTACCATCAATACAAGTATTTTAAGTTCTTCTGTAGAATCTAAAAAACGGTATTTTTGGGTGATTAAATATAGATTTAGAAATTACTTTTTGGGTTTGAGGATGGTAAAGGTAATATGTCTCTTAAATACCTATAAACATTTGAGAACAAAATTGAAACACGAAAATGGGACTAGATTCTTACTGATGATGCAAGACTACACTGACTGTTCAATATTTTAATCTCAATTTCTCAAAGTCAACTTGGACCAAATCAAATTTACTTACAAGTAAACATTTGAGAACGAAAGTGATTTGTATGAATGTGACATATGCCTTTTATATATTTTCACTTCACAAGTTTATTTTTCATTTTTATTTATGATGTGTAACTTTTGCTTATTCATTTTCAAACTGAAAATATGAATTTTCTGTAATTACGGATCTGAGTTGTGTTGTGCTCATATTTGTGGTTAGTGTAAGAATAGAATTCAGTATAATAGCCACTTGTTCTCATTCTTATAGATCGAAATTCTTCTTCACTACATTTTACAAGGAGATAATTTACTTTTGTTTTTATATTTATATTAAATAACTCTTCAAACGTGCATTCTGTAAGGGATTTTATTTTGATTATAAAGCAGTATCAGTGAAATATGTAGGAAATTACAAATTTTCTTACTTGATAGTTCAGCAAGGCTTTACGAAATTAAATACTGTCTCTTTTTTTACTGACAGATGGAGTATAGAAGTGGCTAAAAATTGTGATGGAGTTATATTTATATTCAAAAGAAACTCAGATTTCTGAAATGACATTTGTTAAATATAAACATTTGTGCCTTTGATATAGTTTGTATTGGTAAAGTGTTTGTGCAAAAATACTATTAAATGACTTGTTTAGTCAATGATTTGTTACTTACTTCAAATATCTTACCTATGTTATGGATCTGGCTACCCACTGCACTTCTTTCCCGTTTTTCCTAATATGCATATGCATAATTTTGTTAAACCCATCTTCAGGGTAATACTTCTAATACTAATTATGTTTTTTGAACTTGATTTCCTCTTTTTCCAGCATGTCTCCTGCCAGGCCTTCCACAGAACTTTGTTTCAAAACATAGTAGCGTTTTCAAACAAACAATGTAGCAAGCTGGCACAACACTTCATGAACTCGAGTCCCGAACAGTCACAATCCTCCCCCTTACTTTCCTTAATCTTTCCGACATGCACCCTTACCTCCTCCACTGAATTTCCAATTCTTCCATTCTCATTACTACTTGATGTCCCAATTTTCACACTCTGTCACTGCTACATCTTTCAACTGTGCACTTATGAAAGTGGTGTAAATATATATAGCATCTACAGTAAGATGAAGCAGAAGTAACCATGTGGGTTCAAAAAATTCATAACATTGCACTGTAGTGTTTAATCACTCAAATGAAATAGAGTTTGAAGTGGTGTTATAAACTGATTTAAGTGAAATAGATGTTTTTTATTTAACAGAACACAGGTTATATCGTAATGATATTAGCATTTTCAAAATCCCTACCCTTTATCTTGCAGGTTACTATCGTAGTGCAAGAAAATCAAATGGAGAGTCCTGCTCCTGTTTACATTAGAAATTGTATCAATTCTAAAAATAATGGAAGGAACTCGTGCACTTAAAAATGTTTTTGAAATATCATTTGTACATCTTTCTACACTCAAAATTCTAATTATTACTGTTATCAATTATAAAGTTACAGATTAATACAATTATCCTAGAACCAGAGTTGGCAACCTTTTTATACCTACAGGCCCCAAAGTTAAATCTTCAATATCTTGCGGGCTGCACAATCTCCAACTTTCTTTCATTAATAGATTATTAGGTCAAATTCAATTTTATTAGTGGATTCTTATCACTGTTTATTACAAGCTTTGGATACCCAGCTAAGAGTAATTTAGCAAAGAAACATGTTAAGTATTTTCAAAACTAGTGGTGCTAAAACAGCACACACACTATGTGATCAAAAGTATCTGGACACGTCCAAGATGGTGTTATGGTGTGGTCGTCTTTTTCGTGGAAGGGGCTTTCACCCCTTGCTTTGGGTGGCACTATCACGGCACAGGCCTACGTTGATGTTGTAAACACCTTGCTTTCCACTGTTGAAGAGCGATTCGGGGATGGCGATTGCATCTTTCAACACGATCGAACACCTGTTCATACTGCACGACCTGTCGCGGAGTGGTTACACGACAATAACAACCCTGTAATGGACTGGCCTGCACTGAGTCCTGACTTGAATCCTATCGTACATGTTTGTGATGTTTTTGGAACGCCAACTTTGTGCCAGTCCTCACCGACCTACAGCAATACCTCTCCTCAGTGCAGCACTCCGCGAAGAATAGGCTGCCATTCTCCAGAAACCTTCCAGCACCTGATTGAAAGTATGCATGCGATAGTGGAAGCTGTCAAGGGTAAGGGTGGAGCAACACCCTATTGAATTCCAGCATTACCAATGGAGGGCGCCTCGAACAGTGATTTTGAGCCACGTGTCCGGGTACTTTTGATTACATAGTGTACATTCTCGCCCTTAGTAAGGGTTACATAATATTATTATACCTCAGTTTCTATAATAGCACCTCTCTGTTAAAGGGCACTGGCAACAATGGAAACATTTTCTTATCAATTCTTGTTAAAACTCCGATCAACACCAGGCGAATATCGGAGCAGTACCCTAACAACTGGCCACGGACCGTGCGCGATCTCATCTTCCTCTTCCTTGTACTATCCTTACCCCTTACACTCTTACATTAACCCGCACTACACTGCCACACATGCCGGGAGACCCGTTAGGAGCTAAGAGTTTGTCCCGACTGGGCGGTGCCACGTTGGGAGATTCCTGGTTGGGGAAAACCTGGCTAGCCTGCGGTAGTTCGACGCCGGATATCGCCATGCAGCGGGGGAAAGATCACCGCCACCTCCCAAGCAAAAAGACATGCATTACAGTTACGGAACTAATGACCGCAGTAGTTGACGTGCCCAGAATCACTAAACATTCAGTCAACCAGTCTTGTTAAAAACGCCATTCTTGCCAAAATGGAACTGTTTTTCAGTTATTGTTGTGGTTGTATGAGTTCTTATAAGGCGTTCTTTATTGAACACTATTGCTACAGTTTCGAATACATTAGTTGATTTTTCGCTGTGACTAAGTAGTCTAAGTTCATTCTTAAAGTTTTCATATTCTATTAAATGAAAACTTACGACCAAACAAAACGATAATTAGTCTCTTCCTAATAATGCCTTCTAACAGAAACTAAACAGTTATAATGCCCCAGAAAGCAGAAAACAAAGCCCGCTAAAACGTTTCATTTTTGCTGCTAACTCGCTTTCAATAAGTGTTCCAATTTCTTACATTAGTTTTTGATAAAGTTAATTAAAAAGAAATAGTAAATGAACAAATACTACTATAAACATTTTTTTAAATTTCCACCATGTCATACAGACTAGCAAAGATAATTTCACAAATAAATTGAACATTCAGAACTAATGTCTGAAATAATTATATCCCGCATATATGAATGCATTCAAAATTACGATATCATTACCTTATTAATCTCATTATATATTCTTCCTGCCGTTACTTAAGTTGAATACACCATTTTTGATTAACACATTTCATTAAGAAAAAATGTATCTTCATAATTGTAGTTGTAGGAAGACGCCAAAAATGCTTGAATTTTTGAAATTTGCGAAAAACCAATGATTTTAACAAGGGACCTTCAGCGTTCCTTACGCTATCCGACAACAAAATTTAATCAAAAAAATTGGTGCCTTTTTTTAATGTCTCAAAGGCTTCGTTTAAACTATACCCCAAGATTAAAATATCGGTTTTAAATTCAAGGGGCTGCAACATCAGCCACATTGATTGGGGAATTTCATCTTCAGAGAAATTCGGCGGAAGAGTTTAGTAGACAGGTAGTTTAGTACATTGCTCACAGACGGAGGAAACACTTTTTGCCGTCAATACGTTTTCTGGTATCAAGGACCCACATAACATGGATTCTGGCTACCCCACGTGTTAGAGGATTTTTTTCTGTATTTAGCAACTGTTTTTATCCACTTTTTCGTTACCAGGACCTGACAATAAGAGTTTCTCTGCTGAAAATTCGCGGCTTTTCCCACAGCATTACATAACTTTCTCTATACAACATGAGCAGTAGCGCAAAAGTAAACACTATTGTGTAATTCGTGTGCATTGGACTTAAATTTAAAAAAAATCTAGTTTTATTTAGTGTATCATGAAACAATTTGGACCACATGAAATGAATGGTTTTCGGTGGCTGCAGTTTGGGGATCACTGTCCTAGAACATTTAGAGGTGACTGTAAACAAAATCAGCTGTCCCTCTTTTGAATCCATCGTTACTTTTTCGCCCTTACGAATGCAAGAAGAGGAGGTTTTGTAATTGTGCGCTGGAAAATGATGAATTTTCGGAAGAAAAACTTATTGTCGGGCACTGGTAATGCAAAAGTGTTTCCTGTTTCTATTTACAAGAGTCCCATCAACGACATGTGCCACCTCGATAACTTCTACACGGTTCACGATTTCGAAATGCAGTTTTCCTTCAAAAATGCGTAATTATGAGGCAGGTAGTATGCCGCGGAGATATTGTTTGAAATATTTTTAGTTTTCGAGTTTTTATCTTTGATTTTTTAAATGGAACCGTGTATTTTCTTACTAGCAATAGATGTTGCATAAAATAATTCATCGTATGTTAATGTTTTGATAGTAATTTGAGTAAAAAATTATTTTCTCTGACATGTGATTTAAAGTTAAATGAAGAATATTTCCTGTAGCAGCCCTTGCAACTGTTGCCTTCAGGGAAGGTGGTCTTCGCGGCGCCATGACTTTTATAGGAAAAGGGAGACTGAGGATGGCAACGGGGATAAAGGCGTAACAACAGCAAACCGTGGTCTTGTCACGACGGACACAGGAACAAACATCAATATTAACGATCAGAATGAAAGACTTTTTCTACTGATTCAGCAGAATTGAACATTTCTTCTACTGGTTAAATTCCAAAGCATCGATTTATAGTGCCACAAAACACTGAAATGAGTTTGTCGACCCTTGTACACACGTCTGCAGAAGTGCATTGCGGTAGATGGGGGATACAGAGGTCAATAATTAATTTATTTATATATTTTTATTCTGCTTTCCTATTGGTAGTCTTATTTAATTTTTGTGAATTTATCACAAAATTTCTATCTATAATCTGATGAATTATCTTGAGATATAATGAAAATCTTCAACCATTCATTTCCTTTCCTTGTATTTGAAATGATTTAAAACACTGGCTTGGTCTTACGTCATCGAACTCAATTCTTCTCAAGTTCGAAAATGACCCGTGTTAGTATCTTGCTTACACTATCAATTTCTTTATATCCTTCATTTTAATGATCGAAGCTTTTGAATTGCAATTAGTGGAAGAAAAGTTTAATTATGATGTATCAATGGAGAAATCTTTCTTTCTGATAGTTAATATTAATGCTTGTTCCTATGCCCTTGTAGTCAAGACCATGTTTTGTTGAAGTTGTGCATGTATCCTCACTGCCACCCCTTTCAGTTTTCCATCTCCCCGTGACAGTCTCGACATGCAAAGGCTACCTTCCCAAAGGCGACAGGGCTATGGCTATTGCTAGGGCTATAGGAAATTTTGTCCGTGTTTAATTTAAAATAAGTCAGAAAGTATAGTGAAAACTAATGATGTTACAACAACACATACTTTCTCGCTTTATTTCTAACTTCTCCGCTGTATTATACTACTACATAAACATGCAAAAGTGTTTTCAACCAGCAAATAAGAAAACAGATTTTTTCCGCAGCGAGACACGAACTCGGGTCTTAGCTATGAATGTTGCGGACCGTAACATGTGTACTCTCTTTTGTGAAACTCTAATGTAGTAGTTGATGTGTTAAGATGTCGAGGGTT